TAAAATATGACTTATACAATCTAGTATATGCCAAAATAAAAATATGCATATATTCAAGAAGAGTCCACAAAGTCTAGGTACAAGGATGGGTACATGTTAGGTACGGATACGGTTTTTTAATAATATCTGTTATGGTGTTCCCACTCGTCAAAATACAACTTGTTGACAAGTAATAGACAGTTGTACTTCAGCAAACAAAGCCCCTATTAACTTGGTGGCCCAACCCGAGCAAGGATTTTCCACTTAGCTGACTGGACGAGCCGATATTCCTTCATGTTGACTCGAAAAGTGGTGCCAGTCGACCCTCTTATCGAAGACGACTCACCAGAAGTCCACTCGACCATTTGTTCAACGCCTCCTGAGGACGACTCGAAAGGCGTTACTTCTCAGCGAAACTAAAGAACTATTTTCGTCTCGAGTCTCTCCTCTTGTCATAACATGTCAATATCGCATTTAATGCTTGGCAGGTGCCATCTTAACTCTAGTCCCGATAGTCTTCATGACTCATCGGACCACGTCAACACCGTTATACTTTCAGCTCCTTCCCATTTAATGCTGAGGGGATCCCTCCTTCAGTCGTCAGCCGACACCTGAAAAGTAGGTGTTGACGCGACAGCCAGCCCACACTTCGTCACCGCCTCTCTGTGCTCGGCCGAAGTGACCAGTCTACCCCTATATCCATAGTATAAATACATGTACTATTTGAACTTTCAAGAGGTTCCGAAATCAGAAAAACACTAGTTCACAAATCTGACCTACTAACGCAATTAAACTGTCAATCACACTGCACAATTACAAGAACTCTCATAGTTCTCATTTCTCTACACTCAAGTTCATCAGCTAACTTGACCGTTGGAGGTACAACGGGGGAACCAATCCCCGTCATCTCACGAATTTCTACATGTGCAGATTTTTCAGCCACCTCACTTAAGAAACAGATATAAAGTCAGAGAAGAAAGCGGTCCCTCATCAATTCGAATAAAACTCATCCGAACATGGACACATACTGACTATGTGATCACTTGACATCAACAGTATCCAAGTAACATAGCTTTTTGATGAAAATAGTTCACTCTTGGGTATAAAGAGTGTAGGTTTGTATCTTGATGGTAAGAGAGGGACATTTATAGAGAACAGATTCAATTTTGAAGTTTGAACCACAGTACATTAGTATCTATACAGCATTGGTTCTTTACCTGTGTATACTTCTCATATATCTATGGTCAAAATTTAGATATTCATATTATTATGTTCTCCATGGGCATGGAGGCATGTCTTTTTCAAGTTAGACTCCTAACATGCATGTCCGTAAATTTTTCATATTTGTTGTAAATTATACTTTTCCCTTTTAGTTATACATTTAGCTTTTGTTTGGTTCAACTGAAATTGGAAGAAAAGAAGAGAAAATGAGAAAGAAAATCATTTTTAACTACTTAGTTTGAAAGAAAAGCCAAAAAAAAAATGAAAACATAAGAAAATGGAAGGAAAATGAACTAAAAATTTCCCTTTCTTTGTTCTTATGAGGGCCCTGCATTGCATGAGGAAATGGCTATTTGGCTGTGTAGATTTGCCATAAATTAAAAAAGTTTTTATATTAGTCCCTTAAATCTTTCATATTTGGAAATGTGCTTAAATGAATAAATTTCTATTAAGTCATCCAAATCTAATTAAATTTAGTATTCTCTAATATCATTGAAATTGCCATTAGATCCCAATTCTAATAAGTTGTTTCAAACTATTCTCCTAGTTGTTACTTTTACACTTAATTAGATGAGAAAAATTATATGAGAATAAAGCGGCCTACTAGCAATTTAAATAATTTGAAGGACTAATTTTAAAATCGCATAAGAGTTTAAGGGCCTAATAGCAATTTCAATGATTTGAGAGACTCATTTCAAAATAAGAAAGATGTAAGGGACTTTTTTGAACTGAAAAAGCAGGGTTAAAAGCCCTGCTCATAAAACGATTATTATTAAGAAACAAAGATAAAAACAGATACAAAAGAGCGTCACAAACTAGATGTAGAACCGGTGAGAATACAGTAGGTAAGGAGCGGACATATAGATACAAAAGAGCGTCACAAACTAGATGTAGAACCGGTGAGAATACAGTAGGTAAGGAGCGGACATATATCGTCACCTACCAAACTGTACCCACAGCGATACTACTTAGGTAGCTGATGCATAATACATACTTACAAAAGAAGATAAAGAGCAGCCTACTAGAACACCAAATAACAATAGTTTTCCAAAGTAATGGAAGCAGCAACAGTTTTCAAAATATAGCAACCTAGTTAAAAAGAGAAGCAACTACAGTTTTCCAAAATAGGGGGAGGTGTCCTTGTCCAACAGCAGCTATGGAGAGTCCTGGGTTGGGGAACTTGGTGAGAGGTTATCCCCATCTGCCTTGACAATCCTGTTTGCAAGCTCCTGAAGTCCGATGTTTGAGGCAGCCCTGCGCAGTCTCCTTGCAAGCCTCTCATCTGCAGCACCTGTCCAATATATGGTATATCTCCCAATATTAGAAGCAATGTGAAGAGGATTAGATTGACTATCCTTGAAAATAAGATCATTTCTACTGAACTAGATCCACCAGCAAGAGCAGGGTAGCAGAATTTTCTAAATGGTTTTAATGTCCGAACACATATTGGGAGATTTGTGGAACATTATCAGCTCCTCTATGGTCTCTGGCCAGCAGTTTGAAGGAACAGAGGGAAGGATGAAGGACCAGATAGCACGAGCAAAAGGACATTTAAGGAAGAGGTGTTCATGGGTTTCTACGTTCGATTTGCAGAAAGCACATCTCGGATCGCCTGTCCAACCCTTGTGAATCAGATTTGCTTTCGTATTCAGTTTCTTATTGGAGATGATCCATAATAGCACTTTTACCTTGGATGGAATAGGAGATTTCCAAATCATATTAGAGAATTTAGATTTAATGCCCCCTGAGTTGACGAAGGAGTAATAGGACCTAACTGAGAAAATCCCCGATGGTAGGAGCATCCACCAGAGTTCATCTGATTCCGAAGAGATACTGATATTGGAAGATGTTAGAAGGGAGAGGAGGTGGTTGAGATCTGACCTTTCTGAGTGAGAAATACCTCTTCTGGTGAGAGGGTGCCATGACCAAGCATTGTTTATCATTCTTCCTTGGGACCTGATACAGCAGCTCTGTGAGAGAGCTAAGTTGTAAGCTTTTGGAAATAAGCTGCATAGGGAATTTGCCGAAGACCATTTATCATGCCAGAAACTGTCAGTTCTTCCATCACCAATATTCCATTTAACCAAATTGAAAAAAGTTGTATGAATGGTGGATAGGTCTTTGAAGAAGCTTGAAGCCGTGCTCTTTATGGGATGAGCAAAGGGGTTTGACCCGTCTTTGGAGTAGACAGAGAAAAACACTTTGCTAATGTGAGAATTTCTATCAAAAATTTTCCATAGCCATTTAGATAAGAGAGCTCTGTTGAAATTTGCAATGCCTAGAACCCCAAGACCTCCTTCATCTTTGGATTTACAGACTTTACCCCAATTGATAATGCATTTGATTTTTGAGTGATTGTGGCTACCATTCCAAAGAAAGTTTCTTCTAATTCTGTCTATAGCTTTGATTAACCACTGAGCAAAGAAAGTTTCTTCTAATTCTGTCTATAGCTTTGATTAACCACTGAGGCAGCTTAAAAAAAGACATGTAATATAAGGGGAGAGAAGATAAGACAGAGTTTAGAAGAGTTAACCTTCCACCAATGGAGAGAGTTTTGTTTTTCCATAATGAAAGCTTCTTGGTGAATGATTCTAGGAGAGGTTGCCACTCTCTTTTGGATAGAGAGCCTCTTTTGAGGGGGAGTCCCAAGTATGAAAATGGGAGAGAACCGACTGAACAGCTAAGGATCTTGGCAAGCATTTTACCTTTGTGAGGAATTTTGCCAAGGTAAAACAGATTTGATTTCTGGGGATTTACATGAAGGCCAGATATGTTTGCAAAAATGTGGAGGATGGTATTTAAGGTGGCCATATTAGAGGGGGTGGCTTTGGAGAAAATTATGGTATCGTCCGCAAACTGTATGGACCTGATGGAATTTAGATGCCCTTTCAAATTTAGATCAGATAGATCCCCCGAAGCTGCACTGCGATACAGCAGTTTACTGAGAACATCGGCCACCAGAAGAAAAAGCAGGGGAGATAAGGGGTCTCCTTGTTTGAGACCTCTAAAGCATCGGAAGAATTTAGTAAGGGAGCCATTAACTAAGACAACTGATTTTGAAGAGGATAGAAGATGTAAGGGACTGATATTGAAAAAAAAAAGCTTATTTTAAAATTTACTGTGCACATGAATATAGTCATTTACGAAATATAGATATTTCCTTATAAAGGACCAACAACACTTGTATTAATTTTTGTATAGAAATATAAATTTATAACAAGTGCTAATATATAGTTTGTATATAACATAAGTTAATGGTAGCTTTCACGTCAGTTTTATTAAAAAATTATTATTTTCGTTCCAATTTTCTTTTCATTGCTCTTTCTATCCATGCAAAAAAAAAAAATCTTTTTTTCTTTTCTTTTTTTCTTCTTCTTTTCTTTTCTCTTTCCATTTCTTTTTCTTTTCCATCATTTTCTCTTGAACCAAATATAGCCTTAAAATTTGAATAGTACTCCTTAGTGTGAAGAATTCCGAATAACCAACTAAGACTTTTCAGAAGCAAGCAAAACAACTAGTGTATATCATTAACAATAAGTCAAATATATGCATTAATCTATTGTGATTATTCTGGACATTGTGCATAACAAAATTAATTACCTAACATGTCACATTGACTACCTTGAGCAAAGCCGATCAGCAGCATATCTTTTCAAGGAGCATGAACTTCATGCATGTAGAAAGAGTTTCTTTTTCCTATTATTCTTGCTAATTCCAAATTTAAATTCTTGTTTACAAAAATAACTTGCATTTTGTTGGCTATAAATGTATCGCATTTCAAAGTCTGTAGAGCCAAAAATATGGAGAGAGAAAGAGAACAATCTGGTTCTCTCCTCTACCTATCAAAATCTTTGATTCAATCGTACCCAAAAGACAATCAAAGTACCGTCCATCTCACTCCATGGGATCTCACACGTTTATCTATTGAATACATTCAGTTCGGCATTCTCCTCCCCAAACCCTCTACTCCTCTTGACATCACAATCTCTCACTTGAAATCTTCTCTATCTCAATCCTTGAACCATTTCTTCCCCTTAGCTGGCCGTCTCTCCACCATCAATCATGACACCATGCCACCTACAATATCAATTCTCGTCGATTGCGGCAACCAAGGCGCTGAATTTATCGTCGCATCTGCAGAAGATGTGACGGTGTTTGATATCGTTAGACCTCTCTATGTTCCCTCCATTTTGAAGTCATTCTTCCCTCTCAACGATGCGATTGGCCGTGATGGCCACTCGCTCCCTCTTCTCTCCGTTCAAGTCACTGAGATATTAGATGGCGTTTTTATCGGTTGCTCGCTTAACCATTCAATAGGAGATGGCGCTTCATTCTGGGATTTCCTCAACTCATGGTCGGAAATATCTAGAAACGATAGCACAGACATCTCCTCCCCTCCGATATTTGACCGTTCGTTCCTTGAGCCTTGCTCATTCCCGCATACTGAAAAGTGAAAACCTAGCAGAGTGCTTCTTTAGCTTCTCGGCAGGCACTATCTCTGAGCTTAAGGTGAAGGCAAATTCAGAGATGGCCGACGCTGACGAGATTTCCTCACTCCAAGCTCTATTAGCTCATGTGTGGAAGTTTATCGTCCGTGCTTGGAAGCTGAACCCCGATCAGGAAGCTAGCTTTTATCTACCCCTTGGAAATCGATCGAGGATTAAACCACCACTACCCGACGCTTATTTCGGAATCTCTATTAGTGGATGCGAAGTAAAGGCATCAGCGGGGGAGGTGATGAGCCAAGGTCTAGGATGTACGGCGTGGAAATTGAATAGGGCTGTTGCATCCTTGACTAACGAAATCATCAAGAATTGGCTTGATTCATGGGTAGAGCACCCTTTCACTCTCCACCCTGAAATGTACAAGGCGTATACTATATACATCATGAACTCACCAAGATTCAACGTCTACGGCAATGATTTTGGATGGGGAAGACGGATTGCCGTCCGGAGCGGGAGCGCCAACAAGCTTGACGTACGGGATGATATCAGTGTTTCAAGGAGATGAAGAAGGAAGCATAGGTTTACAACTTTGCCTTGTAGAGCATGCGATGTTGTCTTTGTTAGACGATAAGGAATTCATAAGGACGTGTCAATGTCTGCAAGGAGCTGAGGATGAAGGAAGCACACCATTGTGAATTTGCGTTGCCTACCATGACATGCGATTGTTGGCAAATAAGAAATTATTGGATCAATTTACCATCAAATTAAAATATAGCATCCTAAACGACATTCCTAAAAAGTGTGCTAAATTCTCAACTTAGATGAGCTAAAATACAAATAGGGTGCAAACACTTTTAAATTATTGGAGGCAAATTGTGTTGCAAAAGGCGAAGAATTGTTGAAAAAAATGTGGAATAGGAAAAACTCTGGTCGATCGACTAGCTAATAGAAATAATATTTTGACTGATACGTGCACACCGCAGGAACAAAAAAGCATCACATTGGATAGTCGACCGATGAATCCATATCGGTCGACCGATAAAGACCTACCGGTCGATTGATGACTTGCTATCAGTCGACCGATAGCAGGCTGAACGGATATATCCGTTTCCCAGTCTATTTTGGTTTAGGGTTTTATTTATTAAAGGCATGTTTTGTTAGGGTTTTTTTTTATCAGAGAGAGGGATATTATCAGAGTTTTTTTTAGCACTTTGAGAGGGAGATTCTTTGAGGGTGAGTGAGATCTTATTGGTTAGGGTTATTGTGTTTGTTTGAGAGTTGTAACTCATTGTATTTCTCCTCCATATAGTGAAATCTCCACATCCTCTCTCTGTGGACGTAGGCAATTTGCCGAACCACGTATATCTCTGTGTTTGTGATTCATTTTGGTTATTCTATTGTGGATTGTGCTCATAGTGTTTGTGTCGGAAATTGATTCTTCATTGTCATTGAATCTGTTACAATCGTTTTCCGATTACAAATTTAAAAAATGAGAAAAGTCGATCTTTTTATAAGATCTTCTTACACAATAAAAAAATAAACAAATACAATCTCCTTAAAACACACGCAACAGATGTTTATTACTCGCTGCTTCGTGTGGGATCTTTGCCTGTGTCGGGGACGCGTTAGTCCGTGGACCGTCGCGGATCAGATCCGATTAACAATGATAGATTAATACTCTTGCTTCACAAAGGAAACAATCGCAGAAGTGATAATATCGACCAAGCGAGATTACGACTCTTCTCGAGATCAAAACCAAGTTTGATCTAGAGGAAAGGGGAACATGCCTCAGATCCTTCAAATAGCTTACTCTTTATGCTGAAGTTCGCCAAGATCTGCTAGCCCTCCTCTAAAATTCATACTCCACTCTTCAATTTGACAGCACATTGCCCTCTGATTTCAAATCCCTGCAAATAAAGGCCCTAAGCTTGTATTTATAGGCTTCGGTTGCAACGTTTTAGGATAGGAATTGATGATTTGATCTCATCCGCAATTCATAACCGCTTGACCATGTTTAGGGATAACTTCAAAATAGTTGGGAGACTCTGGAACAAAAGAATCCTGTGAAAACCGTCAAAAACCATCAAAAAACATGTTTTCGGATTTTCTAGGCACGAGCCACCATCTGGTGGTTTGGACCTGTGCGAGCCACCAAATGGTGGCTCGGCCTAAGCCAGTTTATACCGTCTCGGGTATTTTAGCTATAAATCTCTCATCCGGTCTCGGAATAAGGTGATTCAAGATGAGTTGGAAAGCTAACAAAAAGACCTACAACTTTTATCTTTTAAGATTCTCCAGAATTAAGTTAAATCATGGCCTAAATCTCAGTTTTTGTGCAAGACACCAAATGGTGGCTCGGCACTGTGCGACCCAGTTTGTATTTCCTCCGGTATTTTAGCTCTAACTCTCTCGTCCAATCTCGGAATGATGTGATTCAAGATGAGTTGGAAAGCTGACGAAAAGACCTACAATTTTTATCTTTTGAGATTCTCCAGAATCAAACCGTATCATGGCCGAAATGTTAGTTCTTTGTGCGAGCCACCACATGGTGGCTCGGCACTGTGCGAGCCAGTTTGTACCGCCTCGGGTATTTGGCTCTAACTCTCTCGTACGATCTCGGAATAAGGTGATTCAAGATGCATTGGAAAGATGGCAAAGAGACTTACAACTTCCAATGGGCGAGCCACACATGGTGTCCCCCCCGCCCTTTAGGCGAAATACAACTCCTAGCTGAGCTGTTTTGTTGTTTCACGTGTCATGTTGACTCGTACACTTCACGATTTGCTTCATGTATTTAGTTAACTTGGAGGTAGCTAGTGAGCGTGTTGGCTACTTGGAGCTGGCCGATGAGTGCGTGGGCCACTTGGAGCTGGTCAGTGAGCATGCGGGCCACTTGGAGTTGGCTCATAAGCGTACGGGCCACTTGGAGATGACCGGTGAGCATGCGGGCCACTTAGCGGTGGCTGATGAGCATGAAGGCAACTTGGAGGTGGCCGGTAAGCATGCGGACACTTGGAGCTGGCTGATGAGCGCGCGGGCCACTTAGAGGTGGCCAGTGAGTGCGCGGGCCACTCAGAGCTGGCTGATGAGCGGTGCGCAGTCCACATGGAGATGGCTGGTGAGCGCATGGGCCACTTGGTTTGCCATTCCGGTGACTTGTTGCTACGTCATCAACGGTTCGCCGATTCGTTTCCTGTGCTTGTCGGCGTTAGATAATCCTTCTTGACTCTAATAACGATGTTCATCATCTTCTCTCTGTATCGAACTATGTGCGGGAACCTATAGGCAATTTTTGATGCCTACATGTAGTGTTCTTCATTCATTGCTTATCGACTCATTGTGGTTTGAGTCCGTTGATGATGACACGCCTCTCCCCCACGTGTAGCCCATTGCTATGATGGCTCCTGGTCAAGAATCTGCTTCTCCGGACCTCGACTCTGTGAAGGGCCTCATCCAACGGTTGCGAATGCTATGAAATAAGCAATCTCTATCGTTAGCTTTGGGTGAGATACCTTTTCTTACTTTTATCCCTTCATAGCAGATAGTTTGAAGGACATCCAGCGTATGAGTGATATCGAGTTGGCTAGGCATTGTGAGCAAAAGCTCATTCACCTGTAGGAAGTATCGTTGCATCGTTGCATCATTTGGAAGAGCTGGTATTCACCAACCCGCACGACGTGGTAGCGTCATCCCTAATCGAATCTCGAATTCAGAGGATGCAGGAGCGTGAAGCCCGAGCGAGACGTATATCAGAGCAGGAGGTTACCGTCGTGAATTTGTGTGAGCGACAACGTTGCTTGCAGACTAAGATGGATGCCTACAACAGTATTGCCGAGCGTACAGGGGTCAGGGCTGCCCAAGGAGAGGCGACCCTAAAGGACTTTAAGCTCGAGAGCACCAGAGTTCATGGTGCTTATAAAAAAGCGATGGAGGCTCTCCAGGCACTGAATCAGGAAGAAGCGTCCACTGATGCTGTTGCTGCTCTTGCTGAGGCCGAGCTCCAGAAGGAAGCTGAGGAGCAGGTCCGAGCGGATTAGGCAAAAAGGCCGGTCGTTGTTAAGGCTGAACTTGCCTCCTTCAGTTTGCTAGACTAAGCCCGACGGGATTGATTTTGAGACATTTTTATTATCTTTGTTCGAACATATTGTCATGACTTTGCTTGGAATGTATTATCATAACTTTGTTCGAATGTATTGTCTCAAAATCTACTATTATGAATGAAATTATGCCTTTCTCATCCGATCATTGTGTTTCAAATAACTCTTGTATTTTTTTCTTCTTGTTGACCTACACTTAGGATTTTTAACAAACCCTCAGCTATTAACAAATTTTGTTTGCCTTTACCAATTACCGTTTGAATCGAGCTAGTCATATTATTCCCCTTAATATGATGAGTTGTCGAGAAGTTTTTTTTAGACTTAACACTAAAATTTCTTCTTTACCCTTAGCTGTTCGAGGCATCGGGTCGGGGTTAATTACAACTATTAAGTCGTAAATAGGTTAGGCCGTATTTTTTAATTGCAACAACTTAGCCAAAAATGTCCGGTCACTCATGTGAGCGACCAGGAGAGGGTCTGAATAATGACTCATCGCTTGGTAGGTCGCCATTTGGGAAGCGGTAAGGCACATCGCTTGGTAGGCCGTTATCGACTAATAATGTCATTTGCGGAAATGACTGCATTAGGATAATCAAATCATTTAGGGATGTAGGAGTGTGACGATTGATTGATATAGTAGTGCATCACATGGTTGGCTACTACCCATCGATTGTTCTAAGAATATCAGAACACACATAATAGATCAAATCGTTCAGGGACGTATGAGTGTGACGATTGATTGATATAGTAGCACATCACATGGTAGGCTACTACCTATCGATTGTTCAAAGAAATTTAGAACACACGGAATGGATCAAATCGTTCAGGGACGTATGAGTGTGAGGACTGATCGGACAATATCATTTGTAGGAATGACGAAGTTGACTATCAGACGTAATAGTCAACGTGATAGTTTTGTGAACCGACCTTCCTAGTGGAGAGGATTGGTGGGGGACTTTGTCAGAGGTTTAATGTTAACATGACGAGATAGTCGCGATCGGAGTGACTTTGAGGACTTACCATCTTATTGAAGAGGATTTGTAAGTTGATTGTTAGAGGTGACTATTAACGTGACAGTAGGAGTTTGTTGTGATTTTGAGCAACTTTGTGGACTTACCATACTATTGAAGAGGACTGATAAGTTCATTTGTCAGAGGTGACTGTTAACGTGATAATAGGAGTGAGCCTGTCGTTCTGTTAGAGAGGATTGACGAGGGACTTTGGCTTTGGCCCTCACTATCTGGAGGTTTGACCAAGTGGGGGTTTGAGACGATCCTAACTGTTCAAATGTTTGATCGTTCTATTTGGTGGACCTCTCGTTCGTGGAATGAATCGAGAGGGGATTTTGGCTTTGATCCTAACTGTAGGAAGGTTTGACTGAAGTGGTAGTATAGGGAGCAGTTTAACCTCGTATACCAGTCGGAGGTAAGTAGTAGATTAGCCCCATGCACTAGTGGGAGGGAAGGAGTAGTTTATACTCGTATACTTATCGGAGTGTATGAATGAGCAGTTTATACTCGTATATGTATGGGTCAAAAATTACCTAATAGTTCACCGAACACAGCTCGAGACGGATAGAAGACGACGAATGTCATTATCCGAGTCAAGGAAGATTATCCAAGCTGGTAATCGCATGAAACGAATCGGTAAAGCGTACAAGTCAGCGAAGCGACGAAACACACGTAAAGGCAAAACAAGCGAACTGAAGGGGCTACAAACAGCCAAAACGTCAAAAAGACGAACAAAATAGGCTAGAGGGCTCGCATGAGTGTGAGCCACCAAATGTGGCTCCGGCACCCATACGAGCGCATGCGAGGCCACCAAATGGTGCTTGTAGCGCATGCGAGGCCACCAAATAGTGGCTCGCACATCACCGAGTCACTACGAGTACTACTGACTCCTAAGACTCCCAAAACACAGATTTTGATGTTTTTTAAGGATTTTTTCATCCCAGGACCTCTCCAACTATTCTGAAGCTATCCTTAAGTGCGCATGGATGGTTATCAACTGCAGATGACGCCAAAATATTTGATCTTATCAGAAAACACGACAGTTAAAGCCTATAAATAGAAGCTCATGGTCTTCATTTGAGAGGATCGGAAATTTTATCAGAAAACACGATAGTAAAAGCCTATAAATAGAAGCTCATGGTCTTCAATTGAGAGGATCGGAAATCAGAGGGCGAGGTGCTGTCGAATTGAGCAGTAAACCACGAATTTCATAGGAGAATTGGTGAATCTTGTCAAACTTTTTCATAAAGAAAAAACCTTTGAAAGATTTGAGATTCTCTCCCTCTCTTTTCTCCGAATTAAACTTAGTTTTAATCTCGAGAAGAGCCACAATCTCGCTTGGTCGTGATTATCGCTACTGCGATTGTTTTTTTCGTGAAGCAAGGGCATAATTATTTTGTCAACCGGATTTGATCTGTGGTGATCCACGAACTAACCCATCCCCGGTACAGGCAAAGATCCGACGTAAAGCAACAGGAGATAAACTATTGCTGCGTTTTGTTGGATAAAATTATAATTTTTACTTTTTTATTATAATAAGATCTTATAAAAAGATTGACTTTTCTTTCAGTTTGAACTTGTAATCGATAAACGGTGTAACAGGTTTAACAGCAATAAGAAAAACAACTTTTGACAAAAACAAACTAGCGACCACAGTGGGAGCCGACAACCTTTCCGCCAAGGCTGATGTGTCGCAACCTCGAATTCGCATCCCGTTTGAAGAAGAGGTCAAATATGAGTTTGATCAGCAGAAGTTCGAGGAGTACTTGTCCTCCTCCTCCAGATCTGCCTCTCCACGCAAATCTAGGTAGGTCTAGTGGTCTTCGGATTTGAAGACCCAAGAAGATGACCTTTGCGTCGTCGCCACTACAGTTGCACATCACAACGCTTCTCCGGCTTCCAACGAGACTGGATCTACAGATCTGGATCTCTCCTCGATCAAGGAGTTAACCGCTGAAGGCGCGCCTTCCCTATCAAAGAGAGCGTGTCAGCTACGATGCTAACGCCTCGTACGCCAGTTTGCCAAGGCCTTAGAGCCAGTCGACGGAATCCGTTATAAGGCGAAATTGAGACCTGAGAAATATCAGATGCCTCAGCAGCAAACAGGGGATTTCCCCTTTGAAACAACGGCTAATGAATGGACTCGCGTTAAAAAGACTCGCTCGAACCTTGAGCAGCGAATCCAGAAGCACCGTGCATTTCTTGCACATGCAAAAATCCTCATATAGTAAGCCAAGAAATTGCAAAGGCATGATGTAGTCAACAAACCATCAAAACTACGTAAAATTTGGAAGCCAAAATCGAAAACAAAGCCCAAAAAAATCAAACCACTGGCTGCTGGCTCGGCCAGACCTGAACCACCAGCCCCGAGCCAGCCAGCCCCTGTTTGCAGGAATTTCACCTCCCATAACCGTTTTTGAGTCTCCGACGGCCTCTGTTCCTATCCCGATGAATCCCACCCCTTTGGTGGACCCCCACAATAGCGTGGACTTGTCCTGATTCAAGATGAAGATTACATATTATCTCAGTCCTTTGCACAAAGGTCGAGGCAAAGCTCCGATTAAAGAGCGCTTGAGTCCGGCAAATGAACCCCGAGCAATTCGTCAGGCTGGGGGTCATGCGCGTCCTCCCAACCAGTCAAGGACCTCTCATTTTGAGAAAATACATGTAACTGCTCGCCTCAGATTGCGAGTTGAAGTCCAAGAGCCCATTAAGGCCTCGCGCTCACGAAGGCGTGGTTCCAAACGAGTGACTCTTGAAAATGCCAACGAAGCGTTATATCCCCAAAGAGATGTGTGTTCGTCAAAAGACGATGACGTTAGACTTGGAAAATAATGCCAGCACATGATAGGTTACTCCGGTAATCATACCGATGAGTTGTACTATCGGGCTGGGGGTACGAATAAATCTCGAAAGAGAAGTACCTAGGAAATGAATTCTCACTGTTCGTGTACCAAGCTTATCAGGGTAGTATTATCAAAGTATAGCTGCCCTAAAACCGCTCCACAGAGGGTCTCGGTATTAGAAAGATTTTCTACCAAAACGTTAAAGCCTAAGCCAAGGCGTTTCCGTAAAAGGAAGTTAGCCGTTCAAGATGATGAATTCTCAGAAGTCACAATCAACATGGCTGACAAGGGAAAGTCCACACGACATTTCAGTCCCAAACCTTTCCCAGAAATATCCTAGCGAATGACTCGGCTGTGAACCGGGGCTATCAGGCCTAGGGATTATACAAGAGTTCAGAAAGGGCATTCCTCAGATGATGAAGCATCAGATACAAACTCTGCAATCACTTCAGATGCTATTGTGTCCATCACAGGACGGACTCGAGAGACATTCATGATCACTACTGAGCAGATGGCCAACTCCTTCAAGAAGCTTTGGCTAAGCAGAAAGAGGATTTCAAAATCGAGATGGAGATGGCCGTACAGTGGGTAAAAGATATATATACCCAATAGCTCCAAGAGTTCTCAAATCAGCATGATGAATCTAGTCATCGCCACACTACCAATCAGATAGATAGCGACTCAGAAGTAGAGGAGAATATCAATACCGATACTCTACCTAATGATAAAAATGCTGAGGATGTCCTCAACACTAGGGGTGACCCTACCAGCAATACCAACACTGGGGGTGGCCTCACCATTCCTTTTCAAAATCGCCCGAGGAAAGATGTAGGCGAAGATCTAAAGATGAAAGACCTCGAAAGCAAGATCAATGCTTTGAGTTCTGCTCAAGAGGTAAAGAAGATTGGCATTCTGTGTCCTTATCCGACGGAGTGGGAATCAATTTCGTACCCAGCAAAGTTCAACCTGATTAACTTCACACCGTTTGACGGAAGGGGTTCACCCACTCAACACTTGATTTACTTCAAGTCCCGTCTAGGGATCATTTCTGGCAATGAACCTCTGATGGTACGATCGTTCGTGGAAACCCTTCATGCAACTACCTTTGACTGGTACCGCTGTCTCAAGTCGAAGAGTATCAATAGCTGAGATGACATGGAGAGCATGTTTCTCACCAATTTCTTCGATGATGATACTGAAGTGTCAATCGGAACACTCTTTGAAGAGAAACAGAAAGACAAAGAGCTGGTTGACAACTTCGTCAAGCGCTTTCGGAATAAGGCAATAAACTACCGAGATCCGGTCACGGAGGAATTCATTCTCCAAACATGCCACAACAACATTTTCTTGAACATGTTAGAAGCTATGGGCACGGTACCATCCAAAACGTGAAAAGAGTTGAAAGTGCGAGGGGAGCAGGCTGAACACTTCCTCAAAAGGAAGAAAGCTGAAAGGGGTCAGCGGGCAACTAACGCTCCAAAACAGAACTTCACCCCCCATGGTAAAGGAAAGGCACACGTAAATATGGTGGATGCAAATTAGACATTCTAATTGTAACCCTAACAGCAGCCGTAACAACAAGCGCCAAAGCAGCAAACGCCTCAATGGCAGCAATGGCCTCCAAGGTAGCAGAAGACTTCTGAGCCAAAATTCCTGAAGGAATACTCTTTCAAAGAAGATGAGGTTCCTGGTATCTTCAAGTACTTGTTGGAGAACGATAAAATTAAGCTACCGCCAATCACTGATCAAGAGGGAGCTAAAAAGACTATAGATCCACGATATTGTGTGTTCCACAGAGCAGTCCATCATCCCACAAAGACGTGCTACGCTCTCAAGGATAAAATTCAAGCTTTGATTGATATTGGTATCATCACTACAAAGAACCTCAAGGAAAAGAAGGTGGGCGCGAATGTGGTTTCTATCAGCTTTGGCTCGGTCCCTCTGTCATGGTTTCAGCCAGAGCCCGTATCAAAAGTGAAGGTGAAGACTATTAACGATGATCCTCACGGACAACGCCAGAAGAGGATTGTACAACACATGGCTCCTAACGGTGAAATTCTTTGGGTTCATCCAGATCTGTTCAAAGATGAGCAGTGGATAGGATCCTTATCTAAGAAGAAATCTAAGAGTAAGGGCAAATCATGTTGTCCCGCTACAGCAATTCCTGAGAAAGATGATGAAAGCATCCCTCCTTTATCACTTTCTGAAGACGAATAAGAAGTTTTTACTACCAGGGGCGGCAACGAATACCACTACAAGTATCATGAAGCCTCTGATCCAAATGCTAAAAAGTTGGCTGAGCTGGGGTGGATATAAATCCCCCTGTACCTACAGGGAAATCTCAACAACAACCAACTAATAAGCAGAAAGAGAAAGAACTCCAATACCAAGAGGTTCAAAACCCAAAGCAGTCTCGATTCAATCACCCGATTGGGAGAGATAAACCGGAAAGTTCAAGTACACCTTACCGCTTTGATGTTATGACTCAGCTAGCTAACATCCCAGTGAGGATAACTCTATACGAGTTGTTGCACCTTTCCAAAAAACACTAGAGAGGCCCTACAAGAAGCTTTGGCTGATTCTGTTGTATTCCTCACTCAAATAAAGCCAGTCTCCGAAGGGCTAGAGCCACCATGAAGATTTGCCAGATTTGGCTGATTCTGTTGGTAGAGGCCCATGGGTTCCACCTCGTCCGGCCTATGTACCTAAAGGAAAACCCGATAATTATTACGATCATAAAAGGGGCCTAGGCTACACCTCTTCATCCGATGACAAATGCTGCTGGTAAGTCATCGACCAATTAGCAAATAAGGACGGATACTCATTCGATTCTTCCAATTGGGATTCCGATGTCAGTCTTGGAGAAATATTCAAAAGCTTGATGTCGAATATAGCCACTATCGATCCCGCTACAATGGAGGAAGATGATCAACTGCTAACTTGGCAAGACCCATAGATTCATTACCTGAGCATTCAATATGGGGACCGGTTTGAGTAAAGGGAACCTCCCACCAAAGACAAAGTGGTCCAAGTGAACATAGGAGACGGATCGAATCTAAAGCCCATATTTGTTAGTGATAGTCTTCCACCAGACGAGAAGGAAGAATTGATTGCCCTCATCAGGGAATACATAGACGTTTTCGCTTGGAATTACGAAGATATGCCAGGACATTATCCAAACGTGTTAGTCCATCGCCTTAACATCAAATCGGATGTAAAACCTGTCAAGCAACAACAAAGACGGTTCCGTCCGTAAATTATGGAAGCAATTAAGTCAAAGGTTAAAAAGCTAATCGACTCGGGTTTTATTAGAGAAGAGCAACATCCCGATTGGTTGGCAAATATCGTACCGGTCCTTAAAAAGAACGAGAAAATCAGGATCTGTATCGACTTCAGAGACCTGAACACGGCTTGCCCAAAGGACGATTTCCCTCTTCCAATCACAGATTAAAACCTGTCAAGCAACAACAAAGACGGTTCCGTCCGTAAATTATGGAAGCAATTAAGTCAAAGGTTAAAAAGCTAATCGACTCGGGTTTTATTAGAGAAGAGTAATATCCCGATTGACTGGCAAATATCGTACCGGTCCTCAAAAAGAACGAGAAAATTAGGATCTGTATCGACTTCAGAGACTTGAATACCGCTTGTCCAAAGGACAATTTTCCTCTTCCGATCACGGATGTTATTATTGATAACATGTGCGGATTTGAGACAATGTCTTTCATGGATGGGTTTTAGGGTTATAATCAAATCAAGATGTACCCGGACGACGAAAAACACACCGCATTCAGGACACCTCTCGGTGTCTTCTGCTACACAATCATGCCTTTTGGATTGAAGAATGCAAGCACTACCTATCAATGAGCAATGTCAAAGATTTTTCGGGAACACATTCAGAAGACCGTTGAATGCTATATCGATGACCTGGTCGTGAAAAGTCATAACAAAGATGACCATATCAAAGATTTGAGGATGATGTTCGATCTCATGCGGACTCGTCAGTTAAAGATGAATCCCACCAAGTTTTTCCTCGGAATGTCCAGCGGTAAGTTTCTGGGATTTGTCGTCACCATGAAGGGTATCCGCATTGACCCGACAAAGTAAAGGAAATAAATGAATTGCAACCCCCAAGAAACCTTAAAGTACTCAGAGGATTGCAAGGACGGCTAGCCTATATTCGTTGGTTCATCTCAAATCTATCCGGGAAATGCCAACCGTTTTCCAAGCTCACGAAGAAGGGCGTGTCGTTCAGTTGGGATGACGCTTGTCAAAAGGCATTAGAAGATATCAAAGCATATCTGGCGAATCCTCCTGTTCTCGTGACACCGGAGTCGGGTAAACCGTTCTTGATTTATATTAAGACGATGAACCACTTGTTAAGTACTTTGCTTGCACAAGATGATGATAACAATCACGACCAGGTCGTCTATTACTTAAGTCGAACTTTGGTTGGTGCTAAGTCTTAGTATCCAATGATCGAGAAAGAATACCTCGCTTTGGTGTTCGTCATCCAAAAGATGCGGCACTATCTCGTTGGACATACAATCTACGTCATTTCTAACGTTAACCCAGTTCGGGTATTCATGACACAACCGGCCTCTAAGAATTGGAGACTAGCGAAATAGGCCATACTCCTATCCTAATACGATCTGCACTTCAAACAACAAAGTCAGTCAAAGGACAGACGATTTGTGATCTTCTAGCGGCTAACCCTACAGCGAACACAGCCGATTTATATGAAGATTTGCCAGATGAAACTCACGAAGTCAACTCTACCTTTCATCAATAGGTGTGGCAATTATACTTTGATGGCGCTTCCCGAGTGACCAATATGGCAAGCGCTCCCGCTAATTCTAGAATCTCCGCAGGAGTCGGAGTCGTCCTAGTTTCCCTGGAGAAACAGTGAATCCCCGAGCCTACTCATTGATAGGAAAATGTTCCAACAACGTAGCCGAATACAATGCACTGCTTATTGGGATCAGTTTCACCAAAGAGCTGGGGGTCTAATATCTCGAAGCTTTTGGTTATTATCAATTGATAGTCAACCAGATTCGAGGAGAGTACGAAGTTAGGAATCAAGACTTGATACCGTATCACAGGGCGACCATCAAAATGGCAGATTCGTTTGAAGAATTCTTCATCGAATACATTCCGTGTCTCCAGAACACATATGCAGATGCGCTGGCGGCATTAACAGTATCTCTGGCACAGCCTCCCGACACAGAACAATGGGTCACTCTCAAAACTCACCAATTATTCGTGCCAGATTGTGCCTTAGACATTAAGGAAGCACATACGGCCAGGATTGATCTCGAGCCTCGAGATTGAACATTTCTCATAATTGACTACGTTGTGCATGGTATTTTGCCACAAGACATAAAAGAAAGGGACTCGGTTCGAAGAAGAACACCGAGATTCTATTACAACTCAGCAACCTAGACGTTATATCGTCACACATACGATGGCTTACTACTTCGATGCCTCTCAACCAAAGAGGCGGAGGAGGCTCTCAAAGAAGCTCACGATGAAACCTTTGGTGCACATTAACCCGGTCCCAAGTTCTGCGATCGACTCAGAAGAATGGGGTATTATTGGCCGACTATGGTCAAAGATGCATTCGACTACGCCCGATGGTGTCATGCGTGTCAAATACACGTAAATTATATGCATCAAGCCCCGGACCACCTGCACCCTTCGACTACTTCATGGCCATTTGAGACTTGGGGAATGGATATCGTTGGTCCTATTTTCCCGCAATCAGTTAAAGGTGACCGTTTTATTTTGGCAATCATTAATTATTTCTCAAAGTGGGCTGAAGCAGTTCCACTCAAAGAAGTGAAGACAAGTGACGTTATCAAGTTCATTAAACACCATATCATCTGCCGATATGGAGTTTCGAGATGAATCGTACATGATAACGGTCCTCAGTTTGTGAGCAACGCCTTCATCAAATTTTACGGGAAGTTCAGAATTGAAGACGTCTCGTCAACGACATATAATCCTACAGCAAATGGATTGGCTGAGGCATTCAACAAGACAATCATAAAAAAAATTTCAAAGCTTGTGAGAACAAACAAGCGAGACTGGGACGACAAACTCGGCGAAGCTCTATGGGTCTATCACACCACAGTCCGCATGCCTACCGGGACGACTCCGTACTCACTAGTGTATGGATGCGAAGCTGTTCTTCCCTTGGAAATTCAAATTCCATCCCTTCGTATCACTCTCGCAACAAGGATGACAACGAAGGAACAACATCAGAAACGTCTCGAAAAACTTGAGATGTTAGACGAAAGGCATTTAGAAGCTCAGCAGCAAATCGAGTTTTACCAAGCCAGAATTTATCGTGCTTTTGATAAAAAAGTCAAGCAACGAAGCTTCAAGGAAAGAGACTTGGTTCTCGCCATCCGGCGGCCAATGATACTCAACTCCAAGAAGAAAGGTAAGTTTTAACCCAAATGGGAAGGACCATTTGTGATAGAGACGGTCTACTCCAATGATGCGTACCATCACCCAAGACATTGGTGAGCTCATGATGCCGATAAATGAAAAGTTCCTGAAAAAGTACTATCTTGAGTACACTCAGAACAACTTATCCAATGGGAAGTTCCTGGAGAATACCCTACAAGCTATTCTTAAGGAAAACCTGAGATTAGTGGATTATTCAAGTTGAAGACCCGTCATCTGAACAACTCATCCTTAATCATAAATAAGAAGTGACTAAGAACCTCCCACAGTAGCTATTTAATCGTTATCATAATGATTAAAACCCCCTCGTTGTGATTTTCAAGACACTATTTCATCGAGATGAGATTCAGTTCAGTCAATCTTTCCTCACGAAACTCCTTTTGTTCCTCATTGATCGGATCAATTGACGGTAAGCCCATCAGAGTTTTTCAGTCAAATCCGTTCAAACTCCCATTGCATTTCCGCATTTAACACTCCCAAGGTTAAGTTCTAATGCAGTATTCTCAAAGTTTAGCTACCAATTCATGGCAAAACGGTAGACCCCTTTCATGTTAAATTCTTATCACTTAACATTTAAAAATTCTACTGAGTGACTTTTACAAATCAATACTCTCACTGTGATTTGCACTCTCACTCCCATTGATTCAGCTCGGTCAAACCTTCCTATAGTTAGGACCACGACTAAAATCCCCTCTTGATTTTGTCAACGAACGAGAGGACCACTTTCAAATCGGACTTCCCTTTCGATA